AACGGTGGTATACCCGCTTTGTTAATTGAGCTCTGAAACGCAGAAAGAAAATAAACCAAAATAGAGTATGAGCACTTTAACCAGAGACTTTATCATACTGCACAAAAGGGGGGGGAATTAAGGTTAAAGGGGGAAGCTAAGGTTACACAGACAGCCTTAATATTAATGTTACCTAACTTTGAGCGCGTGACCTAGCATCCCTAATAATATTATTTTAACGTAATTTTTGATGTGTAATTATTTATAAAGCTCCAGACAGTAGGTATGCATGATGCTTTACAGGCATATAAAATTGACTGATCCCTGCCCCTAGGAGCTTGCGTGATGACACCATACAAGGGATGGGAAAGGAGGGGGTATGGGAGGACAGAGTTGCAACACTGTGAGATCATGAGATGTACTTACTGCTACATAAGCAACATTTCAGCTTCTCTGTGGTTTTCTTGTTACTCATTTAACACTATATATTAAAATTTGGTGAACAGATACATAACACAAAGAAATCAACCGTAAGGAAGGATATGAAGAAAGAGAACTATGTAGTACAGTGTTCAGTCAGCAATTAATATTAAAACATTTACAGTCAAACGTTGCATGTAGTCAATTATTTATATGGTGTTAGCCCTTGGCACCTCCAGCTGAGGTCTGGATTCTGCTCCACCAGGCACTGTACAAACACCCTGAGAGATATGACAGCTGCGTTATGGTTTTCACTGTAAAAAAAACAGTCAGTGGCTGAAGGGAATATCAGAGGCGGACAGACAAAGATGGTGTAACAGGTTAAGAGGCAGAGCCAAGGGTAGAACTAGAGTGTTCTGACATTTGATTTGATATTCTACATGCTAATTAATATGTGTATTTGGATTAAGATTGCTTGAACAAGAATCACAAAACAAAACAAAAAAAGAGTGGACTTGCAAGTTGCTCCCATGTACTGGAAAAAAAAAAAAAAGGAGAAAAGACCCCAGCTTGGAAAACCTGGAATCCAGGGACCTTCTTTTAGAAATTTCTGTTTCTGTGCTCTAGGAACTGAATGAGATTTGAGCTCTGCTGTGGTTGTCATTTCTGTGTGTGCAAAGCCTGTGGTACGTGCGCCATTTCTGACCTGGCCATACTCTTGTACTGCCACGTGCAGACAAACCTAGAGCACGTTGAAGACTGTACCCTTAAATGCTCACAACTTTCCTTGACTTCAGCAGCAGATGAGGTGCAGACCCTGCTGTGATATTCTAGTCTTATCAGGCATTTCAGCTACACAGAGATCACCCAGGCCACCTGGTAAACAATTCCAGATACTCTAAGAAAAATGAATTGAAAACTAAACATACCATTAACCAAAGTAAGCAACATGGCAAAATGCTCTTGATCTCCTGGAGCACAGGCTAAGCCTCTGGACCAAACCTTAGTGAGAACTGTGGACTCGATTCTACTCTTCACCGCAGTTCTTCACAGTGCATGTGCAAAACACCACTTGGACTTTCTTTATAGCCCTTCACACTCCAGATATAATTTGCTGCCACTTTAAGGGTACTTTTAACAGCCCACAGAGTACAAAATTGTTTAGGTATACACCATTATAAGTAAGTTACTTCACTGGGTGAAAAGCCCAAGCTTTAGTCAGATTTACGACTTAAAATGACAAACTAAGTATTTCCATTATTCTTATTAACCTTTTTTCCCAAGCCGCGACCAAATTAGTCACTAAATAAAATTTCTGGCTGCAGTGGAGCTCAGACTCAAGGAGGACTCCGAGTCACTGCTGCTAACCACTGCTACTTTACAGTATTGACTTGTTCTCCCAATTTCTTTGTTCTTATGTTCCTTTTAGAATTGAGTTAGATCTTGGTACACGGACTAGAAAAAGATAGAAAGGAATTAATAAACTCCAGGCAAAATTTTCTTTTAAGTTTTGTAGCTTATGTAACATATTTAAAACCCTGTAGAGCTTGGTATCATTTGTTCACATGAACTTGCACTTTGACTTGTCTGGGAGTTCAGGAGGCTGGTTTGGTCCTGGAAGTAGCCCGCTCATCACAAGAACTACATACAAACTCAGAGCTCCCAACAGGTTTTATTAGTGGAGTGGCAGCTGCTCTGACAGTGGAAGGTGAAACTGATATTCTCCAAATTTGGCTGTACTCAAAATTGTACTCAGAATTGATTTACATCCCACTAACCCAAGAATTTCATAAAAATAGGTTTAAAAAAAATCCTTATTTTTTTCCTTCCCTCTAAACTTAGAAAGTGGCTTTTGAAAACTTAGCTAGCAGACCTCAAGAGGTTTAGACGAGAACAATTTTGAAAGCTGGTTTGTTTACAAACATAGGTTAGTAGTGGAATTGGATTTACCTTCAAACATTACTGGCACATTCAGAGCATAAAAGTTTAAAGGATAGTACTTCCAGCATCGCTGCTGTGGCAGTCTAAGTAGTTGCTGACATAATGTTAAAATAAATCACAAATGTTAAGTTTCTGCTATACCCTAAAGCTGATCTGAAGAAATTTTGCTGTCCAGAGCCTAAAAAATAAATAGAATTTATGAAAAATAACCTCATTCCCCAAACAGCAATACCTGTCTCCTATTTCAGTCTAAACCCACTCTTTTTAAATTATGGACATATTAAACAAATACAGAATATTTAGCATTATAAAATCACAGAACAGGTTAAGTTGGAAGCCTAGCCCAACCTTCTGCTCCAAAGCAGGGCTAATTTCAAAGCCAGACCAAGGCTGCCCAAGGCTTTGCCTGGCTGAGTTCTGAGAACCTCCAGGCATGGAGATTCCGTGACCTCTCTGGGCAACCTCTTCCACTGCTTAACTGCTCCTGTTTTGACGAATTTCCTCCTTACATTCAATTTTTATTTCCTTTACAGCAGCTGGTGACGGTTGCCTCTTGTCCTTTCACTGTGTATACCTGAGAAGCCTCACAGTCATCCTTTTTTTTAGGGAAA